GTGAGTGGGCAGTGGTGTTGGCAGACACAGTGGTCACCAGCGGCAGGCACTACTGGGAAGTGACAGTTAAGCGCTCCCAGCAATTCCGGATAGGAGTGGCAGATGTGGACATATCCCGGGATAGCTGCATCGGTGTTGATGATCGGTCCTGGGTGTTCACCTATGCCCAGCGCAAGTGGCACACCATGTTGGTCAAGGAGAAAACACCAGTTGAGGGCATCGGGCAGCCAGAGAAGGTGGGACTGCTGCTAGACTATGAGGCCCAGAAGCTGAGCCTGGTGGATGTGAGCCGTATCGCTGTGGTCCACACGCTACCATCAGATTTCCGGGGTCCAGTAGTACCTGCCTTTGCCCTTTGGGATGGAGAGCTGCTGACCCACTCAGGGCTTGAGGTGCCTGAGGGTCTCTAGTATGCCTATCACTAGAACCCTTAATCATGTTTTTGGCCAGTCTTCTGATAAAAGTGTCTAAAATGCCTTTAATTTTGCCCCAAGCTGTCTACATCTCCCAACTGAATATTGGGCCCTCTGTGCAATATCTTAACTGTCTTCCTGTCCCCTGCCCTGTGAAAGTTAGGCATACAGCCACACTCTTAACCCCGCCCCCCACACCACCCCCAAACCATGCCAGTTTCTTAGATTACCATGGGTGTGTGTGCTTTCCCTGACTTGCCTCTCTGTGCCCAGACCTTTTAAATATTCAATTTTGGGGTTGTCTTTCAGCTTTGTTTGAATTCATTCACTACTTTGGCACCTATTTCTCCCTTGCTTGCTTACATGTAACTTATGTTCTTGGAGCTCTTCCAAATCTGAGTAAATCCTTTCTACCTCTGGTTGCAATGGTAAGTCAGTGATTTAGCACTGTCTCTACATCACATGCAGAGTCTGGACTTTGACTCCCTCCATAAATGCTTTATTGATTAAGTATGTCAGTGAGAAAACAGTCCTCCCTTAGTACCTTAATGCAACAGACCCTCAGCCCCACACAACTGCAGTTATTCCCACTCTGAGTCCATCCGCCTTAATCTGCACATCTCTGACACTTGTCTGATCCTTTAAAATCATTGTGCCAGTTACAATCAGGGCCAAAGGGGAAGACACACTTGGGAATTATCTAGGGGGTTAGTGCTAGATATGGCATCTTAGTGTGGCATTATAGGATAAGCACTGGACTACTAACCACAAGGTCAACCATTCAAACCCACTAGCTACTTTCAGAAGCCCAATGAATCAGAACTGACTCAACGACATTTAACAAATGCTCGAAAACGTTGATTCTTGAGAAGTTCATCTTCATTTTTGCTGCAGGGAGATCTGAGGTTTTGCACAGTCGATTTTAGGGCTTGCTCAGACCCAAGCTCCCATTCCCCTTGTAACCAGCTTGCATTGAATATAAATTAGTATTGGGGGTCAGGGAAAACTGGATGAGGTAAATGAGTATGTATGTGAGATATGTACTGTTTGGGCTTTGACCTGATGGTTCCATCTTTTCTACCTTTATAATGGTGATGTAACAGGATTATCTCTAAGGAAGAGAAGGGCTGGGCTTAGCAAAAATAATTATTTGTGTAATTAAAGTTTATTTGAGCACACACACACACACACACACACACACACAAACATTATGCAGTAAGAAAGTAAAAGGTTAGTAAGAAGACAAGAAAAAAGGAAAGGAACAAAATGGTTGTAGCAGAGATTCTGAAATTTGCTCTCCAGTGTATAGATGCCAAAGCAAATGAAAGAAATGAGGAGGTAAAAAAGCTGAAAAGGAAATTTCAAAGGGCAACTCAAGAAGAGTTTTTAAAGTCAGGCATTATAATGAAATTTGCAAAGACCTGGAGTTAGAAAACCAAAAGGAAGAAAATGCTTAGTATTTCTCAAGCTGAAAGAACTGAAGAAAAAAATTCAAGCTTCAACTTGAAATATTGATGAATTCTATGGGCAAAATATCCAATGATGCAGAAAGCATTAGAAGAAGGAATACACAGGGTCACTG